TCTAACACATAGTATAGACATGGAGCTAACACTTTTTCCTAGCTTATTTCAAAGGAGAACTTCAATACAATTGTTGAGGACTACTTAGGAAAAACCAGTGACCGATGAGACAATTAACACTGATGTCAAAAGTATGCAATGGGCAGAACAGCTTACAGAGTGCAGCAGTCATGAATATATTTGGGCTATGCATTACACAGAGCGGTCAGAGTAGTGTCCCCTTACATTGTGGTCAGTGAAGAAGTTCCCCCTTATGTTGTTATTTGTAGGATAAGCCCCCCTTATATTGGTGGTCAGTGGAGAGCTGCCCCCTTAGATTTGTGGTAAGTCATAAAGTGAAACCTTACATTAGTGGTCACTGGTGAAGTGCCTTTTTTTTCATCAGTCAGTCATTATTGTCCACTTACTGTATGTTGCTAGTCAGCAAGAGCTAAAAATATAACTGATGCCAGTGATTACTTTACTACTCCCACACCACTTGCACTGGCTCTGCTGAATTAGGTTTTTAATTATCATGCGATTAGGTCTCCTCATGCTATTAGAGGGACAGAAATTGAGGTGAAATCTTCCCAACAGGTTCACATGCATCAATTAAAGCTTGCCAGAAGCATTTCCTCTACATTACATACATAGACGCAATCCCTTTACATTAAAGCTCTTTGCCCTATGTTTTTAAATAAAGGCCTTTGTTGTGCTCAGCTATTTACAAAAATACATAAATACGCAGCAGACATGTGTGCCGGCAAAAAAATTGTTTTGGATTTTATGTTATTTTTATTTTTGGGAATTTTTGGCTTATGAAGTGTCTCTGTCAAACTAAAAAGGCATATTGCACTGGTATTCCTGTTATTGACCAATAATCCATCTCCTCCAGTGTCATCATATTGACCACCAAATGAGATAAGGTTTTTAGTTTCTAAAATCTGCTAAGATTCCTCTACATATCTCTTTTTGGCTATGTTATAGAAAAAAGTTCTCAATGTGGTCTTGTATTTACACTACAGTAATACATAAATAAACAGTGGCCACCTGAAACTTATTAAAGGGTAAGTCCACTAAAAAACTGTCCACCCAAGTCAGTTGGTTGTTACTAAGTAGTTATTGATCCTGTTGGCCTATTAAATGTCTCAGTCACACCAATGAAGCATATGCCACTGATATTTTTGTCCAAAGTACCACCATGACCCTAAAACTGAGCTCCCAGTAGAAAGCTAAATACAGAGTTATAATACATATATGAACTAGTTTATCTGTCAAATGATTTGTAATTGTCTTCAGTCAACCTAAATTTGGTTTTGGCTTTATTGGACAAAAAAATGCCAAGTGGAGGAGTCATGTTTCAAAAGATATCCCCTGCCAACCAGTCTCGGAGATATACAGTGGATATAAAAAGTCTATACACCTCTGTAAAATGGCAGGTTTGAGATGTAAAACAAAATCAGACCAAGATAAATAATTTCATAATTTTTTCCACCTTTAATGTGTTTTGCAATTCAACTAAAAACAACGTTTTTTAAACAAAGAAGTAAAAACAAACTAAAATCTTTAAAGGGGGGAAACATAAAATACAAAAATGTGGTAAATAATACTTTGTTGAGGCATCTTTTGATTGCATTGAGTCTTTTAGAGTAGGAGTCTATGGGGGTGATTTACTAACCTAAACACACGCACGCACCAGGTGCGTGTGATTTTTACACAGCAAAGCGTATTTATCAACCAAAAAGTCTCTATAACCATATTTCCACTAATGCCATATAAGGAAAAATCATGCACATGATGCATATATAATGCTGCTTCACAGTTTAGACAAAAATGGTTAGCTCATGCATTTACATTCCTGCATTAATCAACGCAAGCAACACAATGTAGAGCTAATTTACACAACATCACCTTGCAATTCAGGGCAGGGCTTTGCACAACACACCTGCTGGGTGTGTACACACTACAAAGGTGTTTAGATTCCACCCATAGATCATGCTGGAAGGGAACACACTACAGAGGTGTATACATGTTCGTGGTGTGTTTATAAGATTAGTAAATCAACCCCTATGAATCAACCCCAAGGCAAGATTCCCAACATCTTGCCTTGGGAATCTTTGCCCACTCTTCCTTACAAAAGTGCACTAAATCTGTCAGATTGTGCACTGCTTTCAAGTCAACACAATTTTCAGTTGGATTCAGGTCTGGGTTCTGGCTGGGCCATTCCAAAACTTTGATCTTCTTCTGGTGAAGCCATTATTTTGTTGATTTGGAGGTATGCTTTGGGTCATTGTTGTGATGAAAGGTGAAATTGCTCTTCATCTTCAGCTTTTTAACAGAGGTCTGAAGGTTTTGTTCCATGATTGACTGACATAAGTCTCCCCACCTTATCTAAAGCCCCAGTTCTAGCTGAAGAAAAATAGCTCCAAAGCATAATGCTGCCACTAACATGCTTCTCTGTTAGTATGATGTTCCTTTGGTAATGCGCAGTGTTGTTTTTGTGCCAAACTAACTTTTTCGAATTGTGGCCAAAAAGTTATATCTTGGTCTCATCAGACCACAACGCATTTGGTCTGCTATTCTGCTCGGAGGTACAGAGCAGAATAGCCGAACCCAATGTCGCTCGGCAGCATTTGGCTATTCACTTACTGCTGTTCAGCCCCTATGAGAATAGGGGCGAACGGCAGCGAGAGAGCTGCCGGAGCTTCGGTTCAGCCGATCCAGATCTTGGATCAGCTGAGTTGAACTACTTCTGCACTTTGGCTCAGCCGAACATGCAGCACATGTTCGGCTGACCGAAGGCAGCCGATGTACGGCTGAAATCAGCCGTACAAGCCAGAAGTGTATAGCCGAACAGCGTTCGGCTCACTTCACTTCGGCTGGGTTATCCACTCGACTGCCTTCGGCAGCTTTGTGAATGATCCCCTAAATTTACATGTCTAGAAATCACAATATTTTAAACTTCATTCATTCCTTTAGACTGTTAGGATATACTGCACATGTGAGTTATTTTAGCCAGCTTGCCATGTGTGCTACCATACAATTTTAATATCAAATAATTAGAAGCAAAGCTTTAGGTATGCAACTTTTACTTCCTGTCAAATATCAACAAACTTGTTCAGTGTTAGAGTGGGGACACTCCTGTGCATTCTTTATTCCACAGCAATGATGGTGTTAAGCAGTTTAACCTTGGCAAGGCATGTCTCTTTGATGTCTGTGGATGTCCTGCATTTCAGGGATGTGAGGGGACTAGGCTTGTAATCCCCTTTACAGATCAATGAGTCATCCAGCTGCCATCCAAAATACAGTATATGTGCACCACATCTACAGAGGAAGTGTTTTCTTTTTGAGTGGGACTTCTGTCTGACACGTCTGTCCTTAGAGCTCTCAAACTCTTCTGTGGTGACTTTCCCACTAATAGAGGTAAGTTCATGCAACTTCTTGGTTAGAACCTAAAAGACCAGCAAACATAAATGACAGAATATAAACATTTCAGGAAACCAGAAATACTTTTTTAAAGCATGTGGTGCATCAGTATTTTCAAGTACATTCTTAATTTCCTTTCTAGTAATCCCAGACAAGAAACATGCCATCTGTCATAGTGGGTGTGCATAGTTTTCAATTAGTTCAGTACAGATGCTGAAACTTATTTTTGTAACTTTTATAGATGTAATGGTCTTAAAATAAATGATACGTTTAAAATCAAATGTTTTTAATACTTGCCATTGAATATGTCAGAGGCCCACAACCTCTATTAGCACAGAATGTGGAATATGAAAAGTAGTAATAAACAAAACCTTTAAAAGTTGTCAATATTTTAGTAAAATAAATGAAGTATACCCTACCTGACTTCATGCTTATTGAAATCTCATAGCATAGGTTGTGTTAAATACAAATGAGTATTGAGTTCAAAAAGAGTGGCTGCTGTGAGCAACATAAAAGCATATCAAGAACCTCATGTAGGTCATAACCCATTGATAGGGGACTGTGGCACCATGAGATTCTTGCAAACATTTCAGCTTCAAGTGTCTCTTGCAGTAATCAGATGGAGTACGTAAGTTAATGGCACTATTGAGCCACCCAAAAATAGGGAATATAAAAACTTGCACACAAAGGGAAAAATTCAGAAATTGTTTCCTACATGTATTGATAATATTCAGCATATTCATTAAGTTTTATTTCACATGCCTATATTTATATTTTTCTTTACATTTACATATAAACCAAGCTGCACAACAAAAGTGCCAATGAAAGAGGTTGAGTTAAACCAGCCTCTCTCAACCAGGGTGCCATGGCACACTAGTGTGCCTCCTGGCCTCCTCAGGGGTGCCTCAAAATGTTGTGGTAGTGGGACTGTGATGTTAAGGAGGGAATGAATCCCGATGTGGAGAGGACTCCTAATGTAAGAGCTGAACTCTGATGTGAAAGGGGGGCTTCTGATAGGAAAGGGGGATACTGATGCAAAGGGTGACTCTGATGTGAACAAAAGGGAATCTTGATTTGTAGGGGGCACTTCGATGTGAAGGTGAAAACCCACTTTTAGGGTGATTTTGTGTGGGGTCCCTTTAAAATCTCTGACATTTTAGACTGGCATGCCTCAAGATTTTGCATACTTTTAAATGGTGCCGCAACTGAAAAAAGGTTGAGAAACGCTGTTTTTTTTTCTTTGGTTTACCATAACACTGCCAGGGGTACTTGAGTAGTCTGTAGGTTAATGGGTTATACAATATAAATATATATATAAATATTACATGTATTAACAGCAAGCAGTAACTGGAATACCATTTTTTGTTAAAGTAGTGGGCCTTTATGACACACAGTGCCTAATTATATTATAAGAGGCAATTAACTATATAACACCATTAGTGGAAATCTATATACATATGACAAGTATTATTGATATTAAATAGTATTTATTATTAATCCCAACAGAACATCCTTACACAACTTAATTATCTCTCTGGCACTATATGTTGAATACTTGAGACAAGAAATTGATATAAGGTCAAGTACAAGCAGCTATGAAGCTCACAGAGTCCTTTGTAATATTACTTTACCTATTCCAAGTAAAGTCTCAGAGCAAAAGAACTAATAAAATGTTGAAGACTTCATCTCAAGATAGACAAGTTCCTCAGCAAGGCATTGAAGAATACCCTCTTCCCATCCAATCAATAACTTCATCTAACATTTCTATACTGGAACATCTAACAATCTCAACAAGAGGTCCCTTGTTGACGCCTCCACGTGAGCACAAATCCTCAGAAGATATGAAGCTTCATCTTCTGAAGAACAAACAAGTGACTTGTAATGATGGCACAACTGCAGGGTAAGACTATCTAGAGACCATTAATGCAAGACAGAACAACTACGTGATTCTTATGGCTGTATTTTGGTTATTTGTAGGTACTACATCCGAGAAGCCAAAGCAAACAAACGATGGATTATATTTCTAGAAGGTACTTAAGGAAATGGCATATGCAGGATTCTGCAGGCTGGAATAAAAATTATGTAATTAAAAATAATACGTTAATGAAACAAGGAATTAAAAAAAAAACATAGGTGGTGGTAAAAGCTAATTAAACATAGACACTGCCGCCAGACCATTTATTTCAACAACAATCTTTCTATGAGATTATATGTGCATTTGTTATACTGCTGCTGGGTGCCTTGTGATGTGATGTCAGCAGCCCCTAGCAAGCTTTAATCTATCACTCAAGTGACATTCTATAGTATTTCCTTTTGATTCTCCCCAGCTACTACTAAAAATGTTATGTAGGGAGGTGAGGGGTGGGAGAGCTGGGCCAGCACTGACAGCAATAATACACTCCGAGAACAGGAGAGGGCTATCATGTGCATGGAGGGAGAAGGCTGTGCTAAAGAATTTACATTTTCTGTGTGTGATGTGTGTTGATTCCCTAGCAAACTCAGAGGCACATTGTAAATCAATACAAAGACACTGTGAGTTAGCATTTAAAATGTTTGACTTTTCTGTGCTTTACCTGCAATTTTTTTAGGTTAGTGACAGGGGTTCGTTAAGGTTCATTTTAAGGATATCGTCCTACCCTTCTCAAAAATGTGTATGTAATGTGAATAAACATGGTATATATGAATCATCCCCTATTATACTTAGTAATATACTGTAATCTACAGTATGATAGGAAGTTTGTATTCCCAGTCAGTGGCATCAAGTGTATCTAAGTGCTTTCAGTGCAGTGTCCTGTAGTACAATAGATATAACATGATCCCTCTAGATAAGTCATTGTCTTAGGGTGTCTACTGTTCTCTATTTTAATAACATGCATAGCAGGATGATGGTTCAGAATGGAGTATGGTTAAAATCTGCCCAGCTTTGACGTGGCATGTCACAAATGAGCAGGTCTAAACCTACCTAGAATTTTTTTTTAATTCTTCAGTCTGGAGGCATTAAGGGGGGGGGGAGAGAGGTGAGCACTTATTGCTGCAGGACCGAGGAGCGGGTGAGTATATCTCCTGTATTCCAGCCCATGTACCAAAATGAGCACTTAACCCTTGCTGTGTGGAGGTAGCCCCATTGCTGAGATTTAAGCGTACAGTATCCTTTCTCAAGCTGATTTCTAATTGGGAGAGTCTACCTTTATTATATTCACCGAAAAGTCTTGGTGTTGTATTACGAAAAAGAGGCAGTATCTGTATCCTTTTAGGCATGGTTGAGACTTAATATCCCTCCAATCCTCCTATTGCAGTTGATGCCTGTAGTTTAGCCTGTATCTTAGTGCAGAGTTCTGGAAAAAGCAGTAAGCCAATCACACAGCAGGAAATAATTCACAGAGGAGCAAACCCAGGTTGTAATATTGCAAGGGGAGATGTGAATGTTTTTCTAGCTTTAGAGGCAATATTCAAGGTTAACAATAAATACGAGAGAGATTTCCTTTTACAGATTAATGTATTATATGTTGCAATAAATTAAGTTTGTACTTTCTCTATAAACAGGGGGATGGTGTTGTTACAGTAAAGAAACTTGTGATATCAGATATAAAAGTGCCAAACGGTTAATGAGTTCCTCAAACTGGCCAAAGACCAGGAAAGGTAAGTTACCATTGGCTACTAAATTGTAAGTCAGTCATCGTTCTATAATCAAGTAAGATGTAATGCACATTTTTTGTAACTGATACTTTGGCTCATTAGTCAGTATTATAAAAGTAAGTGTTTGCCTTTTAATCTATATCAATAGTATTGTTGTGCATTTTTAAGTTTTCAATATAATTTGCTGCATAACGGAAAGAACATGTAAAATCAAGAAACAATGCAAATGTTCAATGTCTTTCATTTTGAACAGGTTTAAAAATAACATGTTTTTTTGCTTAGAATCTCTACCTGAATAAATGTATTTTATCTATTTAACTGTATTCACTTTTCATAACTGCATGCTGCTAATAAAAATTAGACTTTGTGTAGGTTTACATTGTTTTTATGATGCAGGTATCCAACTGGGCAGAATGATTTAGTATAGACTTCCACATTTGCTAGGCATTGCTTCATGTATCATTGCAATGTTTGTGCCACACCATTCTTTTTATTTCAGTTACTTTGCCTAAGCATTCACAATGTTGGTAAAAGGGAGCCTGGCATAATGTATGTGGAATGTTCTTCTGTATCCCAGCCCATGTGAACCTAAACTGAAAGGGAAAATATAATGGGGGGAATTTATCAAAGCACTTGCGCTATTTTTCTGTCCTATCTCAATAAATGACATTTTCTCCTCCTTATTTGCGCCTCATGCATCAATGCAGCCTAAGCCCTGTTAATATATGTCATTTTCGTGAGACATCAGAAAACCAGTGGCGTCGCTAGAGGGTGGCAAGGGGGGGTATTGCTGGGAGTTGTAGTCCTCTATAGCCGGTGTCTTTATGCATTGCCGTATAAAGAATACGAGAGTTGAGCTGAGAGTTGTCCTCTGTAGCCGAAGCCATTCTGCATTGCCGTATAATGTTTTGCTGGGAGTTGTAGTCCCCTATAGCTAAAGTAATTCTGCATTGCCGTATAAAGTATTTTTGTGAGTTGTAGTCCTCTATAGCCGAAGCCATTCTGCATTGCCGTATAAAGTATTGCTGGGAGTCCTCTATAGCAGTGGTCCACATCCTTTTTGGAATCAGGAACCAGTTTAGCTGACACATTTTTTCCACGAAGCGAGGGGGGGGATGTCAAGGGAGCGAGGGGGAGATGGTTTTGGGATGTTTCAAGTGCATTTATTGTGCACTTTATTTCTATTATTATTACACTGTAATATATAATGAACTTATTATACAAGTCAACATATTGCAGAATCAGGGGGAGCCCTGAGCTTGTTTTTCTGCTCTCAGGTGGCCAGTGTGGGCTTTTTGGTGGCCAGTGAGGGCTGTCAGGTGGTCAGTTGGCCAGTATGGGCCTTGAAAAAAAATCTTGCACCAGGGCCCTTTGTTCCTTAGGTCCGCCACTGGCTGCCGGTGTTCTGATCTCCAACGAAGATATCCAATTCCGTCACTTCCGGCTGGTTCCCTGCAGCGCTGGTCCAGCGGCGGAGGAGGCCAGACCCCAGCAGCAGGTAAGAGGAGCAGGGACGGAGGTACAGGGAAAGGGACCCTGACCAGCCCACCTGAGACCCTGCAGAGCCCACCACAGGGAGTCTCAGATGGGCTGTGCAGGATCTACGGTCACTCTCAGGTGGACTGCGTGGCATCTCAGGTATGTGTGGGATCTGAGGTGGGCTCTGCAGGATCTCAGGTGGGTCCTGAGCCCAGTGCGTACCTAAGTCTAGAGTCCAGTCATTCCTCATGTCCAGAGGCCAGTGCGTTGCAAAGTACAATTCATATACAGTTATGCATTGCTGTATAACATATTGCTGTGATTTGTAGTACAGCCGGTGCCATCCTGCATTTGAATGTAAGCTCCTCTGTACAGAGATTGATGTGGCTGGCTCAGTGTTCTCTGTACATCTCTGTAGTATATGTCAGAGCTATATTAATGTATAATAATATTAATAGTAGTGTGAGACTGTGGGGGGACGTTCGTATGTAAGCTCCTCTGATGCAGAGACTGCCGGGGGGGTTGGGGGGCCAGTCTGTTCCTTAGGTCCGCCACTGTTTTTGCTGTTGGTAATAAGTGCAGTACAGCACTTAGTAGGTTCCCGGCCCATCTTCCCTATAACTTGGTACATTCTGTACATGCAGGAAGGGGAGTTTTCAGGAGGGGGAGCTTGGTCTGTTGCGGCCTTTACCAAAGAACGAACAGGGAGTGGAGCAGAGTCGCTTGAGTGGTAAGGTAAGTGTTTTAGCAGTCTGATGATGAGCCTGCAGCCCACCTGAGAGCCCACACAGCCCATCTAGTCCACCTGGGAGCCTGTACAGGCTTAGATATGTAGTGGATAGATGAGGGGTTAGTATGTTAGTACAATAACAAGGTATCATTGCATACCGCATTACTCTCATATTTCTAATCTTATTTATACAGTACAGACTTATTTAGTTTTTTTCAGTGGTATGATTTATTGGTGGCATCTATTAGTGCCCCCCCCCCCCCAGTTTTGACTGTGGTATCTTATGTGCTCCCCCCTATATATTATTCCTAGAGTCGCCACTGCAGAAAACCTTCACAAAAATGTCATATGACTCTTCTAGACAGCGGAAACTTACCGAATTCAGCGCAAACTGACTCCCCCAACCGCAAATCGCAAATATCCCAGAATATACAGTTCTGCTATAAGCTCAGCCCTGACTGTCACCTTTCAAATAATAGCTGTCATCAGCGGCTCACAAGCCGCAGATGACAGTTATTAACTAAAATAACTCAGCTTCTGATCCCGGCCTGCTCACCCTCAATGCCCCCCCATCCCTGTCTCCAGCCCCTTCCTTTCTGTTGATCTTCTCTATTCGTCTCCCCCCGCTGGTGCTGGCTGTAGCAGTCTGTGTACCTCTGAACTCCCGAGGGTACACAGACCTCTGCAGCCGGCACTAGCGGGGAGAATAGACCCCACCCCCTTTCGGTTCTTCCCTCCTGTCCTTCATCTTGCCCGTGCTCCGTGTCGCCGCTGCCACCGTCTTTATCGTTCCGCGCATACCGTCCTGCCATTGCCCCGCCTCCTTTTTCTTCTTAGCCGCCCGCTCCTCTTCGTAAATTTGCGGCCGAGTCATCCTTAGCCTGCTATTGGATAGTTCTAATTGCAATAACCAATAGCAGGCTTTCGCCTCTGTAGTGAGTGCTTCTCCCCATTGAGGAAAACATGAACAGGAAGTGATGTAAATCACATCCAGGTGAAAGTCGAAGCTGGCCGAACGGCCGGCCGACAGCCTGCTGCTGAGGACTGGCTCCAGCCACATGCAGACAGATCA